TAACTCGAGCTGATTTCAGGATTTTCACGAACACAATGATTATCATATTGCAAATGGGTGTTCTGAGTGTTTTCTATATCTTCATGGCACTTCATGTTAAAGAGGTACTGACTGCATTTCTTTTAAATGCAAGTATAGGAAAGGCAAATGCCGGTATTAAAAGATAACAATCCATATTTGCACAACGAATCAACGATTAAACGTATAGGATAACTTCCTCGGCGATGTACCTCATATCGGCTAAAAAAGTCTACTGATTATGAGGATAAGGATGGGGTGCACCAATATTTACAATTAAGTGGAAAATAACAAGATTACGTTTCGGAATGACTCAATGTACTTTAATTTTGTAAATTCCAGATTGTCGAGACGATATGGCCAGAATGCCAGCTGAGAACATCAGTCTATATGTTCATAGTGTTCGTACCTCTTGTATTGATCAATTATATTCGAACATTGCGAGTAATCGCCGTGTTCAGTTGGATCGCCAATATCCTCATGCTTACCTCTTTCGTTATCATTTTCCAGGTAACACATACGATCATTCGATTAAACGAACGGCTTTGACGATCTAGTTTCATTGACGAACTTGATATTTATCAGTTGGTAGACAGAACGTTTTCGCGGTTATCAGGGATGATAATCAGTTGATAATTGAAGTTGATAGTGGGAATTTTCAGGATTTACTGCGGTCAGAACACGTCACGAGCACACTGCCGTGGATAACAGATTTTGACAGTTTAGCAACTGCGGCCGGAGCAATATTGTATTCGTTTGAAGGCCAAGCCATTGTGAGTGCACATTCAATTCATGCGGGATTTCGAAAGCATCAATTGACCTGACTTTCTAGTTGCACGATTGTCAGAGAATAATAAGAGCTGATGGTATTGAACAGTTTCAAGTAGTATTCGTTCGTTGGAGAGCAGTTTTTCGCACGAAGGGAGGGGACCCCGCGGGGAGAAAAACGGACGGGAAGGTCTTCGCCAAAAAGTCGGGGAGCAAATTGCGCGGGGGGGTCCCCGAGACAAAGTTGGGGAGCAAATTGCGTGGGCGGGGGAGCGCTCCCCGCGTTCCCCGTCGGGATACCCGACGAACTACTTTTACTCAACTTTTAATCTTACGATATATACTTACCATACCTCTTCTTCAGGT